GGGAAACAAAACTTCCCCCCCCCCCCACCCCCAAAAAAAAAAAAAAGCCAAAAAGAACCGGCAAGAACAAAAACAAAATTGGTGAGAAAAAAGGAAATTGGAGGCGCTGGCGGATGTCCCGGCTGCCCATGGGGACGCGCGGCTGCACATGGGAGCGCGGGGACCACAACAACGGCGCGTGAAAGTGAAGGACTCATGTTTACAGGGCACATATTGTGGCCAGATAATTTTTTTTTTCCAGGTTTTATTCTTATTTTCCCCTTTTCCCCTTCATTTTTGGTAAGAAAAAAGCGTTTTTAGGGGAAGCCGTCTTCCCCATGTGATGCTCCGATTCTGGTGGGCGACACCAGGTTCTCACCGTGGGCCACCGCATCCATCACTTGGATTTCTCGGTGCAAAAAAACCCCAACCCCAGGACTGATGCTTTTTTGGGGTTTTTTCCCAAAAAAACCCGTGATTCACAGGCATAAATACTGGCACACGGGGGAAAAAAGAAAACCCATCAGCGAGTGCAAATTCTGCTTCGGGTCGGATCTGAGGGGGGTTTCGCACTTTTCCGGATTGCCCAAATCTCCCCGTTTTGGCCCTGATGCTGCGGCCGTTTGGTGACTCTGGATGCAACTTTCTGGAAAATGGAGGAAATCCCCCCAAATCCTTTAATTTATGTGTTAAACCCCTGTCGAATTTGGGGAAAAAAAACCAAAACCCAAACCCACCCCATCCTCGTTCTCAAGGGCTGAGACTGGACGCGGAGTTGGGGCGAGGGGTGCCAGGAGCGAGACTTTCCCAGGGCATTTTTGTACCGAGTCAGGAAAAAAAAAAAGGGGAAAAAAAAGGGGGTTAAAAATGCAGATTTTCACCCCAAATTGAACGGCAACCCCCCCCCCAAGATTTGCCCAGCTGGAAGGAAATTCAATATTGTCGCTGGAAAGACGTTTTCTCCCCGATACTGTCCACCCACGTGGAAAAACGGTGGAGTTTTACCCCAAACAAGCCATGGGGGAGGGCAGCTCTGCAAAAAATCATGTATTTTGTTGTTTGGGTTTTTTTTTTAAAAAATGCTAGCAAAAGGGTGAATTTCGCCTTAAAATGCGGCGCAAGGGGAAACACAAAAGCAAACCCAGGCGATGCGGGGCAAAAGTAATAAAGGAATTTTCTTCTGCAGGTTCCTCCTGTAAATGCAGGTTTCTGTAAGAAGGATATTAATTTTTTCTTTTTTTTGGCAGCTTTTTGCCAGTTTTGTCCTTTTTATTTTTTTGGCTCTTGAGGAGTTGAGAAAAAAAAACAAAACAGCAACTGGGGGAAAAAAAAAAAAAGAGTGATGCAATGGGCAGAAAAGCCTATTTTTCGATACTGATCTGGTGTGAATGTAATCTGTAATTTCATAAAGGATTCATTGTAATTTAGTATTAATTCATGGTCATTTATTATAAAGTGCTACGAGACGAGGTTTCGCAGCTGTATTTTATTGGCAGTTTCTTCCTGGGAGCGGAGAAACCCCCAAAATGGGTGAATAACCCCCCCCAAAATCGGCAAATCCCTCCGCAAATAAAACAAATCAGCCTCAAAATGGATGAATTGACCCAAATTCGCAATTGAGTGATGCGGCGTGAATGGGAGTTACATTTCCAAAAAAGTGATGCTTCCCCCTGAAAAAAGTGATATCCCCCCCCAAAAGAGCTTTGATGTGATTTTAATCTACAGATTTGAATCTGTGATTCTCCCCCAAAATGAGTGATGCGACCCCCAAAATTAGTTGTATTCTCCAAAAATGAGGGATGCTCCCCAAAAAGGAATGATGGTACCCAAACAGGGCAATCCCCCCCCAAAATGAGAGATTCTCCCCCAAAATATGCTGTGCTCCCCCCAAAATAAGTCATGTTCCCCCAAAGTGAGTTATATTCTCAAAAATGAGGGGTGCTCCCCCAAAATGAGTTATATTCTCCAAAAATGAGGGATGTCCCCCAAAAAGGAATGGTGGTACCCAAACAGGGCAATCCCCCCAAAAATGAGTGATTCCCCCCCCAAAATGTGTGCTGTTCAGCCCAAAATGAGTTATGTTCTCCAAAAATGAAGGACGCTCCCCAAAAAGGAGTGACCCACCCCAAAATGAGTGATGCTGCCCCAAAACATGTTCTGCTCCCCAAAAATGAGGAGTGCTCCCCAAAATCAAAGTGTTCCCAAAAAAATGATACTTCCCCAAAATGAACGATATTCCCCCAAATGAGGGATGCTCTGCAAATATTTAGTGTCTCTCCTCCAAAATTAGTGTTTTGGAGTAGCGTGCCCCAAAATCTTCTCAAAACCATGATGCTCCCCCAAAATGAATGACGTTCCCCCAAAATGCTGTCCCAAACTAGCAAGCCTCCTGAAAGTGAGTGACTCTTCCCAAAAGTGACACTCCCAAAAATGAGTAAATCTCCCCAAAATAAGTGACTTCCCCTAAAATGACAGAATTTGCCCCCAAAATGGATGCTGCTCTCCAAAAATGGGCAATGACACCCAAATTAGGGACTGTACCCCAAAATAAGTGACAAACCCCAAACTGGAGGAATTCCCCCCAGAATGGCCACTCCCCCCGCTCCATTCCCAAATGAGTCATTGCTAATTAATGGATTGATTTCTGGGGGAAAAAAAAAAGGTGACTTTTGTATAATTTTTAGCAGAAAATGGGGCTATGGAAAAATCGAAAAATGGGCAAAAATTGCATCAAAATGGAATTTACAGCCAAATTTTACCCCTCAGATCGCAGCGACGGCCTGCGGTGTTGCAGCTGGCTCTGAGCACCCAGCACCTCATTAGCCAGAAATTTGCATATTTGATAAAACACTGAATATTCATGAGCATCGCGGCAAAGTCCTTGCCTGTGTTTTCTGCCAAAAAAGTGTGGTTTTTTCTATCAAAAACTTGCAAAACGACGTCACAAGCGGAGGGATGAAGATGCCGGAGGCCGGTTGCTTAATTAATGAAACGAATTATTTATTTCCCAGGCGTGCAAAGGTGGGGGGAGTGTGTGCATGGGGGGGGGGGGCACAGGCGACCCATTTTCCTCAGGTTTGGCCCCGTTTTCGGGGGGCGCCGGGGTGGGGGGCGTGAGGGCAGCGCTGCATCAGGTTGGGCAGAGCACTGCAAAGAGAGAGGTCATGGATGTGCACCAGCGCGCATGAGGACGCACCAGGGCTGTACGGGGTTGCACGTGGGTGCACGGTGATGCTTGAGCGTGCACAGGGATGCAGGAGGATCCATGATGATGCACGAGTATGCACGGGGATTCATGAGTATCCATGATGATGCACAAGCGTGCACGGGGATGCATGAGGATCCATGAGGACGTACAACTGTGCATGGGTATGAGTATGCGCAATGATGTATGAACACATACAGTGGTGCGTGAGGGTGCACAACGATGCACAGGCTTGCACTGGAATGCACAAGAGCGCACAAGAGCTGTGAGGGTGATGCACGAGGGGCACAATGGTGCATGAAGAGGGCACAAGGGCTGCACGAGGGCTGCAGGAGGCTGCACAAGGGCTGCGTGTGCCCAGGGGATGCACGGAGGATGAACGGGATGCAGGAGGGATGCACGATGGTGCACGGGGGGGGTGAAAGGGGGTGCACAGGGGTTCACGAGGCTGGGTGAAGGGAGCAGATGGGCCACGTAACAGCTCAAGGGAGGTGCAGGGAGTATGCACAGCGATCTACGAAGGTGCGTGAGGATGCACGAGGGGTGCACAGGGGATGTACCCGGGACTCACTGAGGAAGGATGCACCGGAGATGCTAAGGGATGCACGGGGATGCACGGAGATGCATGAGGGACGGGCAAGGGATGCACAAAGGCCACAAGGGAGATGCACAGGAGGCGCGTGAAGGATGCAAGGGGGATGCAGACGGGTGCAGAAGGGAGCCGTGGTGGATGCACAGAGGCACGAGGGTCACACGGGGAGGGCAGGAAGGATGCACGTGGGACACAGGAGGCGAGCAGATACCTTTGAGGATGTAGTCCGTGAGCAGAGTGGGCACCTTCTCGTTCCCCTCCTTCATGGCAAACAGGACTGTGAAGGGGAAAGGAGTTGTGAGCCTGGCCTCCCCAAATGTCCCTTTTCCCATAAAAAACCAGCCCCACAGTCGCCATAGAAACACTGCTAGAGTTTCCCACAATGCACCAGGTCTGAGAATATCCCAAAGAAGTGCTTTCACCCCCAACCAGCCGGTCCGTGGCAATGCAGAATGGGTGTTTTACCCCCAAATTGTTGCTGCTATAGGGTGCAAAGCTGTGTGTGGGGGGGGTGTGTGTGGGGGGGTGTGTGTGTGTGTTGCTGCAAACTGGCCGTGCTGCCATGCTGGAAAACGGGTCTCCCCACCCACCCAAAATGGGCTTTGTTGCGATGATGCAACACAGGTGATTGCGCCTTAAATTGCCTGTGCAGCAACAATGCAAAAAACAATGGTATTGCACCCAAAATTTGCAATAATATGCCCAAACCACAGCCAC